GAGGGAAAGAGAAGAGAGGGAGAAGAAGAGAGAGAGAGAGGCAGAAGAGGGAGAGAGAGAGACACAGAGAGAGACAGGGAGACAGGGAGACACACAGAGAGAGAGAGAAGGAAGAAGAGAAGAGAGAGAGAGGGAAAGAGAAGAGAGAGGGAGAAGAAGAGAGAGAGAGAGACAGAAGAGGGAGAGAGAAAGAGAGACAGAGAGAAGAAATATCCAAATGGCAACTGGGGGGTGGGGAGCGCACCTAATCAATTATAGCTGACCACACTAACCAAGCATAGTGAACAGAGAGCCAGCCTCAAGCAAAGAAGTCGTGCTTCTAACGCTTGGGGCTGTGTGATCCTAGGCAAGATAATTAACTGGTCTGGACTCCTGGCAACTCAAAAAAAAAAAGGATTAAATTGCAACAAAGGACATTTCCTCCCTGGGATGATGCTCCCTGCATTGGCAGCCTCACAGGTTGGATGTGAGGAGTGAAAGTACTTCACAGATGGCCAATATGCTGGAGGGCCTGAGGCTTCAGGGAGGGGTGGGGATTAGACAAGGCCTGAGGTCCCTTCTGGCTCTGATTTTGACAAACTCCTGCCCTCGAGGAGTTTACAATCTAGATTGGGGTGAGGGGTATTTCGGGGGTCCTTTTCAGGAGGCTCCTGGGGTCCATTGGCTTTGAATTCTCAGGGTGGGTCAGGAGTGCCAGGGAAATTCACCCCACTTTTCTTGGTCAGGCCTCATGTCCGCCCCTCTGCAGAAGAATGACATTGTCTACGCTGACATTATGCAAACTAATTTAGCCCCAGAAACCTTGGCCCAGGACTACAGGGTGCTCTACGACTATACAGCCCAGGTGAGTATGAGGCAAGGGCCTCAGTTTCCTCATCTGTAAAATGAAGATTATGATAGCACCTACTTCCCAGGGTTGTGGTAAGGATCAAACAAGACAATACTTGTAAAGTAAAGTGCTTAGCATGGTGCCAACACATAGTAGGTGCTTAATAAATGCACGTTTCTGTCCTTTCCTCTTAATACCCTAATGTAAGTTAGCTCGCCAGAGCATCATGATGAGGAGGAAATGACTCTGTAGGATGGAGAGAACAAGGGGGGGGGGGGGCGGAAAGAAGGGTGTGATGCTGTCTTCAAGTCATTGGAAGCCTGTGGGAGCTTGACCTGCCCTGGACAGAACTGGACATAGCATATGGAGGGGGGAAGACTGGGGGAGGGGAGGGAGTACAGGCTACAGGGAATCTAATTTCAGCTCAGTATAAGCACTAACAACCCCAGCTGTCCAAAAGTGGAATGAGCTGGTTTATGAGGTAGTGAGCTCCCTGTTGTATGAAATACTTAAGAAGAGGCTATATGTTCCTCAGTGAGGGTGGGAGGTTGACTCTTCCGAGGTCTCTGCTGACTTGAAACTCCTATGATTCTATTTCAGAATGCTGATGAGCTAGACATCACTGCTGGAGACATCTTGGCAGTCATCCTGGAGGGGGAGGATGGCTGGTGGACAGTTGAGAGGAACGGGCAGAGGGGCTTTGTTCCAGGTTCCTACCTAGAGAAGCTCTGAAGGAGCCCTAACCCCCCTCCCCTCTGCTCCACTCTGGATCACGCCCACTGCCCTGGAAGAGATGCCCTCCAACCCTGCCTGACTTCACTTCTGGGGCAGCTCACCTCGCTGGGCTGAGCCTTCTAAGGGCCCACGCCTGGGGAAGTGGGAAGGCAGTCATGTGTGACGGGGACAAAATCGATTGGGAGTCGGGGAGACGGGGGCTAGGCCCAGTTCTGTCCTTAGTTCCACGTGTGCAAGCCTCTCAGACTCAGTTTTCCCATCACGGGACTAAAGAGTTAGATTAGATTGTTTTTAAGTTCCCTCCCAGCTCTGACATTCTAAAGTCCCTTCCATCTTTGACATTGTCTGTTCTAAGTTCCCTCCCAGCTCTGACATTCCATGTTCTAAAGTCGCTTCCATCTTTGACATTGTCTGTTCTAAGGACCCTCCCAGCTCTGACATTCTGTGTTCCCACACACACACGTGTGCGACAATTAAGAGTCAAAGGATGTGGTCCTTCCTGCAGGAGCTCAGAGGAGAAAGAACAGGAGGAGACAGAGATTTCCTGGAGGGGGTGGGATGTCGGCTGTCTCTGGGAGAATGGGAACTATCTGATGGGGGAAAAACGGGTGGATGTTCTAGGCTAGCAAGAGTGAGAGAGCAAAAGCATAAAGCATAAGCAAAGGCATATAGGAAGGAAATGAACCAGGAATAGTATCGAGAGTGGGAATAGGGGTCTGGGGGTGGGGCAGAGGGACAGGGAGAGAAGTAGCCACACTAAACTGTAGACTATGGAGGGCAAAGTGATGTACAAGGGAGGCTGGGTTGGAAAGACAGAGGGAGGGAGGCAGAGAAAGAGAGACAGAAGCAGAGACAACGAAGAGAGACAGAGAGACACAGAAACAGGAAGAGAGAGACAGAGAGAGAGAGGAGAGATAGAAGAGAAAGGAGAGAGGGAGAAAGGAAGACAGACACGGTCAGGCCTACAGCATAGACTTCTGGGTGCCCCCCACTCCTCACCCCTTGAAGAGGCTTGTTAGGCTCAAAAGTGTTAGAACCCCAGCAGGGCTAAGTCCCACCTGTGTTGCCTCTGGTGTGATTTCAGGCAAGTCACATCCCCTCCAAGGAACTCAGTTTCTTCTCCTGTAATAACACCTGTTACCCACCTCACAGGATGACTGTGAGGTTTAAAGGAGATAGCACCCGCTAACATGCTTTGCGAACTTTAAATCGCTTTCTCAAAATTGCTGTTATTGTTACTATTAGCACCCTCCTCACTTTACAGATCCTGCTCATGTCAGAGATGGGATTTAAACCCAGATCTTCCTCTTCCGCCCTCCACCTAGGGTCTCACAAGCCTCATCATCAGCAAATATTCCCATACATCTGACCTTTGTGTCTCCTGTTACAAGATTATAAATACAAACAGAAAAAAAGACAGCTCCTGCTTTCCAGGAGCTCAACATCTATAAAATGAAAAGGGGTGGGGATGGGGGAGAAGGTAGCCCCTCTGGGGGGTGGGGACATAGTGGAGAAAGTCCAGAGATGCCTAGAGTGGAGAAACAGATCTTAGCTCAACAACAGAGAAAAACTTTCCAACAACTGGAGTTATCAACAAGCATTTATTGAAGTACCTACTATGCTAAGCACAGAGGATATAGAGGCAGGCAAAAAAACATGGTACCTGCCCTCAAAGAGCTCACATTCTAATGGAAGGGGGTAGGGCACAGACAACATGTAAATATCTAGGTACATCAAAGAGATAGATAGATAGATAGATAGATAGATAGATAGATAGATAGATAGATAGATAGATGGATGGATGGATAGCCACATAAACATACACATACATATATATACACACACATTAAGTGGAAGTTAATCTCAGAAGAAATTTGGGGGTGGGGGTGTGAGAAAGGAGTGGTCAGAAAGTAGAATGGGCTGCTCCAGAGATCAAGTAGAGACTGGACAACCACTTGTCCATGATGCTGTAGAGGGGATTCCTGCTTGGGTGTTTCTTGGAGAAGCAGGGCTGTGCCATCATAATCCACCCCCAGCCCCAGCCTGCCAGGGTGGTGAGAGCACAGGATGTGGACTCAGGAAGACCTGGGTTAAAATTCTTCCTCTGACACTTATTAGTTGTGTGATCCTGAGCAAGTCACTTAACTTGTCTGATCTGCAGTTCCCTCATCTGTATAATGGGGATCATTACAGGACCTACCTCCCAGGGTTGTAATGGGCTCAGAATGAGTTAATCTTTGTAATGTGCTTTGCAAACCTTAAAGGCTTGTATAGATGTCAGCTGTTCTTGATAGTCTCCCAGAGAACAAAGGGACAGACCCAGGCCGGCTGGTGGGGGCTCAGCATTCAGTCAGTCATCTCCCCACCCCAGGACCGGACACAGAAGTCTCTGAGATGCCACCAGTCTCCCTGTTCTGTACAAGTCCAAAGGTCCACACTCCCCGACAACCCCACCAGTGGGAAGGTGAACCATGGCTCAGTTCGCATCATACTGCTTGCGGTCTAAATAAAAGAGTATGGTCTTCAGTGGGTTCTTTGCATAATTGGAGAAATCATACAACACCCAGACCCAAATCTCTGGGTTGTTTCTCTGTACTATTGGAAAAAAATTGATTAGACTGATTCAGCCGGCATGACAGACATTGTGTTTCCTCTTTCCTCTAACTTTTCGCCAAAATTAAACACCTTAAGACGACGTGATTTCATCAGTGTGGGCCTCCCACTGTATTTGGAGTCAGAGCAACTGGGTCCAAATCCTGACGCTGCTGGCTACTTCTGTAACCCTGGGTGAGCCATTTCCCCCAAAATGAGGGGTTGGACGAGCCCAAGGCTTCTTAAACTTTTCCCACTCCTGACCCCTTTTCTGCATTTAGGGTTAGGCCTGAGGGCGCATGCAGAACAAAGTATGCATGCTTTGTGTTCAGAACCAAGGCTGCAGTGAAGTTGCCTCATGCAACACGGACAAGCACGGCCAGAAACACCTCGGACTCATTACACGTTTGATTTTTAATTAATCTTTGGTCATCGAGTGTTGAGAAACCTTTTACCATTTGACCCACAGTTTAAGAAGCCCTGAACTACATGATCTCCAAGGCCTCTTCCAGCTCAAAATCCATGATTCTATAAACCAGTCCCATCATCCTCTGCCCTGGTTGGATGTCATTCGGAGTAGCGTGCTCCCTTCTGGGCATCAGTTTTATGAACGATAGTAAAAAGCACATGCAGAGGAGGGAGATGAGGCTGAGGAGGGGATTGTGCCCTAGCTTGGAAAGTTGTAGATGTGGTTCAGCTTCCTCCAAGCAGCCCATGCAGGCTCTTGCCCCTCTCCCTGGGAGCAGCCACCCAGAGAGACCCGGGAGAGGGTTTCTGAGGACCCCCATCCTACTCCCCAGACACCCCGAAGTTAGAAATGTAAAACTGGCCAGAGTAATGCAAGGGTTTATGGAGTGAGTGAGTGTGTGAGTGTGTGTCTGTGTGTGTGTCTGTGTGTCCCTACAGACCCATCTCTGAGCCCCTCTAGCTCCGTTCCCCTCCCTGATGGGCTCATAGTCACTGCCCAGGGGACCACAGCACAGCAGAAAGCCCCAGAGCTCTGTCTGAGGTGTGCCACACTGATACATCTTTATCTCTTGCTATTAACTCAGTCCAATTACGTGTTCATTTTGAGAGTGTGTGTATCTGCACATGTAATATGCTGAATGTAGGTGTATAAACATGTGTCTCGCCATTTCTTGACTTTTCACCCCTTCTTCTCTCCCTTTGTACCACCATCACCCCTCACCCCCAAAATCATCACCATCACCAACAACCCAAAGCTGGATAATTTAATCTTTTATGTAGTTTCTTTCCTCTAGTGGAGTTAAAAGACAAACTGGTTCCCGGATTCACAGAGTCTGGATTCAAATTCTGGCTTTGCTACTAAACTTGTTGTATGACCTTGGGCATGTCACTTCATTGCTATGGGCCTCAGTTTCCTTCTCTGCACAGCAGAGAAAAAGGAAAGAACTTGTGTCTGAGATGACAGCTTTAGCTCTTCCTATCTTCATCACAGGCTCTCCCCCTCCCCACTAAAATTTATTCATTCTATAAGCATTTATTAAGCTTATGCTATTAGTAGGCATTTCTATTGCTTTTTCCAAAGGGCTTTCTTCACAATAGTCCTGTGAAATAGACAGTGCAGGGATGACTATGTCCATTTTACAGGGGAGAAAACTGAGGCCCCAAAGGTTAAAGTGATGCAGCTAAGAAGTAGCCGAGCAAGCCCAGACTGAGTCTGGGAGAAGCCTCACTTTCCCACTCCTCTCCCTCTCCACAACGACTCTTCCCCCAATGTCTGGTCCCTTCTTAAATGTGGGGCTGGGTCCCAGAGGGTGAGCCTGCCTTCAGTTCCTCCATGGAAACGGCAGACAATGGGCTGCTAAAGAATTGAAATTGGAGATAACCCAAAGGGGAGAAGAGTCACTTATGGCGGTTGACAACAGGCTGCCGTGTTTTCACCAACAATAGCTAGTTGGAACCATCCTCAAGGAGACCCACGATGGGAACAAACAGGCAGGCAGATCATGTGGAGACGGAGGAAAGAGGGCGGGTGAGCCCTGGAGGGCACGAGTGCCACTCTGTCACCTGCAGGGATGGACAGAGGCCTGGAGGAAACGGATGAGAACTGCAGAGAAGCAGGGGTGTGGGGGCTGCTATCTGACGTGTGAAGGACCCCGAATCAGGGAGGCCAGAGGACCACAGGAACATCACAGCATAGAGGGGATGTTTGAAAAGATGTGCTCCCCCCTCCAGTACACAGAATGTAAAAGATAACGACACCCACAAGAGACCCCTGTTCATACTAAATCGTAAGAGTTCGAATTTACAGACCGTTGTGAGGTTTGTGAAGCACTTTACAACTGTCTCATTTGCTCCTCACGACAACTGGGGGGGGTGCTATTATTATTCCCATTTTACAGATGAGGAAACTGAGGCACACTGGTTAAGCGACTCTCCTTGGGCCACACTTTGAGGCTGAATTTGAACTCAGGACTCCGTGTCCAATGCTTTATTCACTGAACCACCTTCCTGCTCACCAACAACTGAACCTCAGTTTTCTCCTCTGTGAAATGAGCTGGGACTTGGGGGTCTATGTCTAAGGCTCCTTGTAGCTCTGGTCTTGGTCCTACTTTGCTGCTGTCCCACAGGAGCTCCTCTTCTGGAGCCCTTTCCAAGCCCTAACACGACTTCTCCCTCCAATTCGACCCCAGGTCTCCCTGACTCCACACCGGCACTCTGTCCGCTACACCATGCGGCGTCTTTTGAAGTCCTCGTTTTCCTCCGAGGCTCAGCTCAGGTACCACCTTCTCCCTGAGGCCTGCTCTAAGCCCTGCCCCTAGGGAGCTCCCCTTTCTCAAATGGTGTGCCTCCCCTGGCCCCCTGCTACTTAGCTTGTATCACACTTACCCACATCTCCCCCCGGACTAAGGGGGGCACTCAGACTGGTCTATGCCCACTTAGAGGAGGACTTAGGTTGTTTGCCCTCTTTGGGTCCCCTTCCTCTGCCCACGCCTGGGGCTGTTCCGTGCTGCATGTACTGAGGAAGCTACATGGTGAGAGGGTGCCGAATGCAGCAACCCCCAGCTTTAGCTTTTTGTAAAATCTTCTGGGAGACACGTGGAGGAAGGAGCCCTAGGGAGACGGTTGGTCGAGACAGAAAGGCTTTTGAATGGTGGACTGGATCCTTCCCAGCTGACCTTGTTCCTTGACTTCTGGGGCTTGAAATCCTAGAGACTGCTCCGAGTGGCCCTCCCCTGGGCGAGATCATGGCCCCTCCAGCCGAGACCTTCTCTCAAATCTCACTTCCTGTTATGTGTTATTTGGTGTATTCAGATCTGTAGTATTGTGATTTCTGTTTGTTGTTTTGCTGGGAAAAATGGACCTGCTTCCTATTCACCATTTATGACGGCATTTTGTGTAAATCTACCGGCCAGCTACAAAACCTCCTGGGATTTGTAGTTCTTCCTAGTGTGGGAAGAGAAAAAAAAACGACCGTGAGATCGACTCTGGAACAACTGTAGGGGAGGAGGGAAGAGTGGCAGAGTTTGTTTTGATTGATTGATTTGCACGCCGGGTCGGGGTGGGAGTTTGAGATGAGGTCATCCCGTGGCAGTCAGAGGAACCTGGAGCAAGCAGCTGGTGCCCTGGCCCTTCTGGGGTTCCTGTCTGTGAGACCCTGAAGGGTGACCTTCACCTGAATGGACAGTCTGGGCAGGGAGCGAGACTGGGGGGCTTTATCTCGTTTGTTGGAAAGAAACAAGCCTGCTGAGAGCAACAGTGGGCAAGCCTGACCCTGCCACAGCCTTATTTCTATTTCTGCTTCCTTAAATTTATTGTGTTAAAGACTATCTTTGCCAGATGGAATATGATTTCTGACCAACACCTGGCCTCCACCCTGTCCTCACATTGCTGGGTGTTCCTTTGTTTGTGGCATGAGGGAGACCTTTCCCAGCCCAGGGCAAGGAGGACGCACAAGCCTGAGTCATATCATAACCAACCTTCTAAGGGCAGAATCAGGAGGAATTCAGACCCCTGAGTAAACATCGACCTCCCAGACCCAAGACAGCGTTACCCCAGCTCATGGTTACAAGCCTTGGTGGGAAGGAGCCAAACCGCTGAGTGAGAGGGAGGA